TTTTTCTTAGAGGAAAAATGAGTCTAGTGTGTGGGATTTGCTTTGGAATGAAGAAAATTTGTTATGAGATCAAAAAATCTCTTGAAGAGTGAAGGAAAAACTATATATATGCAATGGTGTTTTGGTAATTTTAGGTTAGTAGGGCTAGAGTAACCCAATGAACCAATGGTTAGATTTAAGTGATATGAAGACGTGTTAGGTTTTGGATGGATCTAAGTACTATTGATAGCCTTTGAAGTGTAATCATGAATTGTCCAACATTTCTAGCAAAGGAATATTGGTTCGTTGAGCCTTTCTACTTTTGGCAATTTTCTGTCCATATGAAATGCCATATGTGGGGGGCAATGGAGCACAGCCAGCGAAGTCATCTTTATCTAAGATTTTAGTGATTTTCCCAAGCAAAATATAATCTTTTTCATAAGTTCCTAATGTAATGAAATTTATGCAGCCACCTAAACATTAAATATAGTTGCAAACTGGTGATGGAGACTCAAATGGCATTTCTGGTTAATTTTTAATGGGATTCTAAACTTTCTAGTTAGCATCAAATTGTGTAGTTTTGGGATCAAGTCTTGCCTTCACGTGATTGCCACCCAACCCTTGCTGGCGAAGTCAAGCAAGATCGCTAGCCCAAAGCTTGGTTGGCATGACCACTCTGCTTTGCCAAGTGATCAATATTCATCCATCCATGCCTGCCAAGCTACTACTCCTATAGTTTATCCCGAACAATCATCATGAGCTTAAATTCTTGGGTTTGTGTTCATCTACAACAAAGAGTAAAATATGAATGAGTATCTATTCAAATGTATGTGTAAAATGTATAAGTATGTGCAACAAAGAAGAATACTCCCTTGTATTATATCCAAGGGGACGATGAGAATGAACACTACTATGCCTTTTTATCCATTGGCCATTGGAAGCATTTATATAATATTGTTGTGTATATTTGGCAATGCGCCAAAATAGAGAATGAATGACATGGATATGTGTTGCAGTATCGTTTTGTTGAGCTAAGCGTCACTGGTCAATGATACTTGCCAACATGTAAAGATATAGAAGATATATGTTGTAGATCAAGATTACCAACGATTGATAATTTTATCCCTTTATGTAAGAGAATAATGATGTGCTTGATCACCGGTCATGTTGTATAAATATCGCAGGGTTAGCCATGAATTACTTCCCCGTAACTAGAGAGACAACAGTGACTAGCTTTGCTCATAGATAACGTGTGAGCTATGTGAAATTGGAAGAGCATTCCAATAATCTACCAAGCCCCAAAAGGAATAAATTTCATTAATCCAGGACTTCGTCATAGCAATGAATATATGATAAGGTTAAATTCCTTTTTGGTCCTTCTACTTTAACAAAAAAGACCCTTTTTAGTCCTTATACTTGAAAAAATCCCTTTTTAGTCCCTAAAGTTTGAAATTAACCCCTTTTTTAGTCATTTTGGTAAATTTTGGTTAATGTGACATGTTAATTAATGAAAAAACTTACTTTTTGCCATCTAGTAAAAGTTGATGACATGGCTAAATTTTTTGTCTAATATAAACTTGAAAATCATTTAATTACATAATTGTCATGTAAATATTTTAAAGATTATTTTGTGATTAAGAGTGACTTTAATTATTTATTTGCCCACATCTTTTCCCCCCTTATGTCTTATCCTCTCCTTCTTCGCTAATCATAAAAGATCCAAAACCTATGTTTTTTTTTTTTTAATTTTTATTTCTCTTTTTCTTCTTCTTTTTCTCACCATCAACAACCTTACTTCACCGCATCCATCTTGAACATATAGATTTGGGTAATTATTCTGATATTTTAATGAAAACCCATCCAACCTAAACGAGTTAATTGAATCAAAATAGAGGAAGTGGACCTCGCTCGATGCCACAAACTTATAAAGAAATCACGAAGGTGGCATTCTTTTAGGCAATTGGCTTCGTGGTGATGGGATCAATAGGGTTTTTTTGTTAAGTTCATCTTCATCCCCATCAACAACATTATTATTGGATCCGGTTTATGCTAGGATAGTTGTTTGAAGTACAACAATTGATTTTTTTTTTTTTGTACCTTTCTTGAATATGGGTTGTAGACGATGGAAAGATGAAACTAGATTTGGGTTCATCACAAAACCCAAGCACTAGGTTTATCGTAAACCCAAAACCTGGGTTCATGTTCAATTTGAAGAAGATTACTAAGATTAAGATGGGCTTGAGATGTGTAGTGAAGATCCATGTTAGGGTTCTAGACAGAGAGAAAGGGGTGAAGAAAAAAAAGGAGAAAGGTTGAATGATGAATAAGGAGGGTCAAGGTTAATTTCAGAATTTTAGTTTTTATAAATTACATGTTATATTTAATGTCCATATAGGATGCCACATCATCATTTTTTACTTTTGGATTTTCCATGTCATTTATACAAAGAAAAAAATCAAACAATTTTGTTAATTAACATGACATTTCAACCAAAACTTAATAGAAAGACTAAAAAGAGGCTACATTTCAAACTTTAGGGACCAAAAATGGGCTTTTTTAAGTATAAGGACTAAAAGGGGACTTTTTTGTTAAAGTGGATGGACTAAAAAAAAGATTGCACTTGATAATAATGGGTCGAGTTTTGTCTATGGAAAGGGGATGCCAGCCACATCCATGACCTCTGATACGAACAATGTGTGATACCATGATAAAACGATGGCCCTTGTTGCCGTACCTACACTATCAAAGGATAGTCATAGTTGTTGCTAGCCAAGCACCGTACCACCAGACACAGGCGACCACCAAGGAGCTGTCGGTTGTAACTTAATGGATTTTTATCACTGAAAAGTAGCCATCCTAACCAATTGCAAGGTTGCAATTATTATTGACCTCACACTAATTGTACCGAGTTAGGCTGACTCTTTGTCTATTTCTGGGAGCTAGTGAGAATAGAATATATAAAGATAAGACCCTTAGTTCATTTTTGAGAGTTGATGTAGCAAAATGTGTAGAAGTATATAGCCTTTTGCCCATTGTTGGAGGCTAAATAAGATAGCAAATCTAGCCCTTCATCCATTGCTTGGATTTATGTAGATGTAATAGAATTGGCCCATTGTTCATTGTTAAGAACTAGTGACAGAGATATGTAGAGTAGCAAATCTAGCCTTTTGCTCATTGTCGGGAGCTATGAAGATGTAATAAAATCAACTCATTGTCCTTCAATGGAAGCCATGTAGATATAGCAAAATAGGCTCTTTATCCATTACTAGAAGCCAATTGTAGTAGTAAACATAGCAGTAGAGATCATGGCCATCAAGAAATGCGTAGTCATGTCGTAGAGATAAATATAGCCGTGTCTGCCTTGTATCTGAGAATGATATTAAAGTGAAAAATGTCTACAATATTTCAAGCGAAGTAGGTGAATGATGCTTCTGGCAATGCTAACTTTGTTGCAGTCATCAGCATAAAATAATATACAATAGATTTGATGTGGAAATAGATCATATAGGCTTTTCCAAGTCACAAGTGCAAAGCCGATCTTGCTGACGTGGGACTACACATGTAATGAATTCCAAAGCAATACAAATTAATTCCTCAATAATGATTAAAGCCCAAGTACAGATGGAAATAATTTGAAACATGCCAATTCCAACTCCTTTTATCAATGCTTCTCCTTTGCTCATCGAAAATAGTTTGTCCAAATGCTCCGTGAATAACTTGATAGCAAAACTTTCTCCAACTAATGCAAATACTATTTTCATTTGAGACATAGTCTGCAAAAGAATGATAATGATAATTTATAGGTTCATGATATTGACCAACTAGCATTGCCTTTGAATGAATCACCTATTCCACCAAAGATGTAGATCTTGATATGTAGATCATCTTAAAGCTTACAAGAAAATGGCCCAACTTTGAACCAAAAACCATGTAAAAAACAAGCCAATAAGATTTTCAAGGAGGAAAAGTCAATATGTAAGATCAAATGATTTAATGCATAATTGGGTACCTTATCCCCTATAGCATCTTATTTGATACTCATGTGATTACGTATCCCACTTATTAGCTTACTAGTTGTTAAATCTATATTGAATGCTCAATCTCTTGGTTAACAATTGCTCTTAAGAAGACTAATCCCAATTGCGCTAATTGCCTTTCACTTACATAAATCTAGCATCCAATCTTTATGAATCTCATTAGCAAGGGTAGTAAGTACATATCGAAGAAGATGTAAAAGATGATCTTAAATATATTAATTCAAAAGTAGCTTAAATTTATACTATATATTTTATGAATAACGTATGAACATGTACCCAATATTCTAGCGTAGCAAAGGCCATGTAAAAGATGTAGGTAACAATTTGCTCAAACAAACATGTTTGATGAAATAAATACAAGGCTCTTAGAAATCATTTCTAGTATGATCATTGAATTTGAGCATGTAGTCAGTAAAATCATAATCGATTTCTATGCTCAAAAGTAAGTAGGGAAAATAGGATTTTATTTTATTTTTAGTAAACGGTTGGTACACCTTTCAATTTAGCACCCATTCAACACTTGTCTAGTTTATCCATTAAAATATAATATAAATACAGCTAATTCAGTTAGTTCCTACATATTGTATGCATAACTGCATGTTTAAGTTTGTCTGCCTTTAATTTCATATCATAAAATAATATTTTTAATTGGTAAGTTTGTTGTACATTGTATTGAACTAGATGATGTATTAATTAGTATCATTTATTTTTTGGTATGTAATACTAGTCAGTCAAATCACATGGCTGATGGTGGAAAACATGATAGTAAATTTTGTGTGTACATACATTAATCACATTAATAACAAATCCTTGTAATGGTGCTTAAAATGGTTCAAGGTTAAAGTATTGTACCTTCTTGATGTGATGGGAATCAAGACGACAACATATCTACTACGTCATGTGATCCATTACACACCCAAGGAGGTCCAGTCACACGAGCTAGAGCTAAGAAGATGCGTGAAGCTTTAAATGGCCTTATTGAGCAGATTTGGGTTGAAAACAACATACAACAAGCAAATCGAAACTTGGATGATTATCAAGGCATGGTAAACATCATTCAGGTTCAAGAAAAGCTTAGTTGAGGTCCTTTGCACGGAATTACACAGTTTGCGTCAAAATCGCACAATTCTGCCGCAATTTGTAGCAAATTGATATTTCATGTTATTTTAGGTTATTTTTAGTGATTTTCACATTTTTTGTATTATTTTTTGGCTGAACATTCGCTTATTTGAAGCCCAATTCGTGGTTATTAGGTTTAGGACTTAGGGTGTTAGTTTCCTATTCTGATTAGGATTTGTTTTTTCTATTTAAAAGGCTTGTAACCCTAATAGGGAGGGAGGCTATTGAATTTGAGTTTTTGAGAGACTTTTCTCTTCGGTTCGTTTCAAAACTTTACAAAACTTATCAAGATTATTCTTGTGACGTTCTAACCTGACTTATCATTCTCGTTCTTAATCGTTCGAGGGTGTGGCATCAACCAACTTTATACCTCTGGTTCTTGTTGCGTCATAGACAATAGGCCAAGGTTTTTACCTTTGGTTCTTGTTGCAACATAAACAACGGGTCAAGGTCCTATTATAAACCTGATTTGGCTTTCCTGGAGTTTAGAAATCCCTTGTCGTGTTGTGGGTCTCATTGTTCTCTTTGGGGTTCTCATCATCTTGGTATCAAAGCATCAGATCCTTAAATCAGGTTTGTGTATCTTTAGTTTTCAGTTTTTACATCAAAAAAAAAAAAAAATTAGGGTTCTTTTCTTTCTTTCTTGTCTGCAACTCTTTTCGTCTTGTTTTGTTGAATCTGTGTTGCTAGTTCTGAAAAAAAAAATCAGAGAGAAAAGCACGAAAAAAAAGAGAGGAGAGAAGTCATAGAAAAAAATACAAAAGGAAGAATCGCAAAAAAAAAAAAAAAAAACAAAAAAAAAGGAGAAAGAAACAAGCAACAAAATTCTGTGGTTGGAATTCCTTATATAGAGAAGAGATCGGTGGCCAAATCCTTAAAGAAGAAGGAATCCTACTCCAATAAGGAGTTGGAAATTCTCTTTGAGTTCTATTCAAACAAGGAGATAGCAATTTTGTTTATTCTTTCCCAAGTTAGGAATCCTACTACATTAAGGAATAGTCAAGTCAACTCCTACTAGGAAGTGCTTGAACTGATCTATTAGTTTTAATTTGTTTGGGTTGGTTCTTTTATTGCTTTTCTTGGTCGTTCCTTTGTGTCTTTCTGTTTCCTTTAACTCTTGCAGATTTGTTGGAGTTAGATTGCTGTAAAATAACTTGAATTGAGCTTGTTTAATTCAATAACAAACTAAAAGAGGAAAGTTGAGTAAGGGAAAAAGGCAAGAGGTGTGAGCAACATTTGAGAGAAAAGCCAAGTTCTACAGTGTGCGAAACACGAGTGTTAAGTGGCATTCTGTGAGAGAGTGGAGTGAAACACGTAAGGGAGTGTTGTGAGGTCCTTTTATTTTCTGTTTCTAACATTCCTTGCATGTTTCAATCATGTCAAGCGGTGATGATAGAAAACACCAAGTGGATAATTCCTTCATGCTCAAAGCTATGCAACAACAATTTCAGAGGCTAGACATCATGTTTGGTGAAATTAAAGACAAAATGGAGAAGCAAGATGCAGCCATTGCCAAGTTATACCAAATACAGAATGGAAGTCCAAATTTGCATAATCACGATCTTGATGACAATGATGAAGATGCATTCAAAGATAATGCCTAGAACTCAAATTTCAGCATGGACAGATTTATGAGAGGTAGAGGGGGTCAAAGATATACATTTAACAAAGGAGACCAAAATTTGGCAAGGTGGGGAGATCGGCAAGATCATGACTTAAGCAGCATCAAGATGAAGATTCCTCCATTTCAAGGCAAAAATGATCCAGATGTGTATTTGGAGTGGGAAAAGAAGGTGGAATTGGTGTTTGATTGCCATAACTATTCTGAGGAGAAAAAGATGAAACTAGCAACAATGGAATTTACTAATTACGTTGTGGTGTGGTGGGATCAGCTTGTGCTTGGTCGTAGAAATCGAGAGCGTCCTGTTGACACTTGGGAAGAGATGAAGGCTGTGATGAGAAAACGGTTTGTTCCTAGTCACTATTACCGCGATCTTTATCAACGATTACAGGGCCTTACTCAAGGGTCCAGAAGTGTTGAGGATTATCACAAGGAGATGGAAATCACAATGGTTAGAGCGAATGTCGAAGAGGATAGAGAAGCAACAATGGCACGATTTCTGCATGGTTTAAATCGTGATATAGCTAATGTGATGGAACTGCAGCATTATGTTGAATTAGAGGATATGGCGCACATGGCAATGAAAGTAGAAAGGCAACTCAAGCGTAAAGGTGCCACCACCAGAACTGGGCAAAATCCAGGTTCTTCATTTTCTTCGAAACCAAATTGGAGCAAAAAGGGAGAAAATTTTGCTTTTAAGCCTAAAACTTCAACATCTAAGTCAAAAGACGTTGGCAGCAGTGAGAAGAGTAAAACTAACAGTATGCAAGGTAGAAACCGAGACGTTAAGTGTTTTCGATGCTTGAGAAGAGGGCATATTGCATCGCAATGCCCTAATAAGCACACGATGATCTTGAAAAAGGATGGAGAAATTGAAACAGAGGGTGAATCTGATGATGACTTTATGCCACCATTGGAAGATGCTGATGATGGCATGGAATATGCTGTTGATGGAGAACTACTTGTCACTAGGCATGCTTTGAATGTGCAAGCCAAAGAAGATGATGAAGTACAATGCGACAACATATGTCACACGAGGTGCCATATCAAAAATAAGGTGTGTAGTGTGATTATTGATGGTGGCAGTTGTACTAATGTAGCTAGCACTGTTTTGGTTGAAAAGCTTAGTTTACCTATGAAGAAGCATCCAAGGCCATATAAGCTGCAATGGTTAAATGATTGTCGAGAAATTAAGGTAAATAAGCAAGTTCTAGTTTCATTCTCTATGGGATGTTATAAGGATGAGGTACTGTGCGACGTGGTTCCCATGCATGCTGGACATTTACTTTTGGGGAGCCCATGGCAATATGATAGGAGAGTAACACATGATGGCTTCAAAAATCACTATTCGTTCATCATGGAAGGGAAAACAATTACTCTTGTGCCATTGAGTCCAAGGCAGGTTTATGAGGATCAACTGAGACTCAAAAAAGAGAGTAAGCTAAGAAAAGAGAGTGAGCTTAAGGGTATGAAAAACAAAGAGAAAACAGCAGAAAAAGTGTCCAAAAAGAGACAAAAGATTGAGAGTGCTGAAAACAAAGAGAGAAAATCAGTGAGTGTTTATGCAAAAGAAAGTGATGTCAAGGCTGCGTTCTTTGCAAAGCAGCCTATGTTTGTGCTTCTGTATAAAGATACTTATTTCAACACTAACGAACTTAATGATTCTTTGCCTAATGTTGTTAAATCTCTTTTGCAGGACTTCAAGGATGTGTTTCCAGATGACGTTCCTAATGTTTTACCACCAATAACAGGAATCGAGCATCAAATTGATTTCATTCCTGGTGCAACAATTCCAAATCGACCAGCATATCGAAGCAATCCCAATGAGACGAAAGAACTTCAAAGGTAGGTCAAAGAACTCATGAAAAAGGGACATGTGAGAGAAAGCATGAGTCCATGTGTAGTTCCAATGCTACTTGTGCCTAAGAAGGATGGGACTTGGCGTATGTGCATTGATTGTCGTGTGGACAACAAAATCACTGTAAAGTATCGTCACCCTATTCCTAGATTAGATGACATGTTAGATGAGTTGCATGGTTCTTGCATATTCTCTGAAATTGATTTAAAGAGTGGATATCATCAGATTAGGATGAAGGAAGGAGATGAATGGAAAACAGCCTTTAAAATGAAACATGGTTTATATGAGTGGTTAGTTATGCCATTTGGATTAACTAATGCGCCTAGTACATTCATGCGATTAATGAATCATGTTTCGCGTGCTTTTATTGGCAAATTTGTGGTTGTTTATTTTCATGACATTTTGATATATAGTAAGAGTTTAACTGATCATATTAAGCATTTGCAAATGGTACTTGAGGTTCTGAGAAAGGAAAAGTTGTTTGCTAACCTTAAAAAGTATTCCTTTTGCACAAATCAGATTGTCTTTTTAGGGTATTTTGTTTCAATTGATGGACAAACAAAAGTGGTTAGTAAGATGTTGTCAACCTTATTGTGATCTATTATTCAGAAGAACTTGAAGAATTTGGAAGAGTGTTTGCCACACGTTGAATATGCTTATAACAATAAGATCCATTTAGCAACTAATTGTTCACCAGTTTAGGTTGCGTATGGTTTTAATCCACTCACTCCTTTGGATTTATTGCCATTACCTATTGATGAACAAGCTAGTTTGGATGAGAAAAAGAAAGCTAAAGTGGTTAAGCAAGTACATGAGAGGGTGTAACAAAACATAGAGCGACGAACTCAACAATATGCAAATCAAGCCAACAAAGGGCGCAAGAGAGTTATGTTTGAACCTAGAGGTTGCGTTTGGGTGCATATGCGCAAGGAGCGATTCCCTACACAAAGGCGTTCTAAGCTGCAACCAAGAGGCGATGGACCATTTCAAGTGATTGTGAGGATTAATGACAACGCATACAAGTTGGAGCTTCATAGTAAGTATAACTTTAGCGCTACTTTTAATGTTTATGATCTTTCTCCTTTTGATGTACGTGACGTTTTGAGGAAAAATCCTTTTGAGGAGAGAGGGAATGATGGGAATCAAGACGATAGCATATCTATTACGTCATGTGATCCATTACACACCCAAGGAGGTCCAATCACTCGAGCTAGAGCTAAGAAGATGCGTTAAGCTTTAAATGGCCTTATTGAGCATATCTGGGTTGAAAACAACATACAACAAGCAAATCGAAGCTTGGATGATTATCAAGGCATGGTAAACATCATTTAGGTTCAAGAGAAGCTTAGTTGAGGTCCTTTGCACGAAATTACACAGTTTGCATCAAAATCGCATAATTTTGTCGCAATTTATAGCAAATTGATATTTCATGTTATTTTAGGTTATTTTTAGTGATTTTCACATTTTTTGAATTATTTTTTGGCTAAACATTTGCTTATTTGAAGCCCAATTCGTGGTTATTAGGTTTAGGACTTAGGGTGTTAGTTTCCTATTCTAATTAGGATTTGTTTTCTCTATTTAAAAAGCTTGTAACCCTAATGGGGAGGGAGGCTATTGAATCTGAGTTTTTGAGAGACTTTTCTCCTTGGTTTGTTTCAAAACTTTACAAAACTTATCAAGATTATTCTTGTGGTGTTCTAACCTGACTTATCATTCTCATTCTTAATCATTCGAGGGAGTGGCATCAACCAACTTTATACCTCTGGTTCTTGTTGCGTCATAGACAACAGGTCAAGGTTTTTACCTTTGGTTCTTGTTGCGACATAAACAATGAGTCAAGGTCCTATTATAAACTTGATTTGGCTTTCCTAGAGTTTAGAAATCCCTTGTCGTGCTGTGGGTCTCATTGTTCTCTTTGGGGTTCTCATCATGATGGCTTTAACCATCCCATCAATGTCATTGATGTTGTTCCCATAACCATTCAAGGCTTTTCCTAATAGCAGGTATCTAGTGGGTTAATTAATGCCATAGACGATGAAACCAAAGGTTCTTAGTGCCATCAGATTCCAATCTAGAGCATCTACATATCTCAAAAGCTTATGAAAAGGCAAACTTTTTCCCACAATCTCCTCCTCTGTTCTCCTTATGTTCTTCGCTTCTTCCTAGTCTACTTCTATTTCAAAGACATTTTGCACATGCACATGCATTGCTGCACTTAAAAATGTGCACATTGCCCTCATCAAGGGAAACACATACGTAGAATTCAAGAAAACTATTTGGTGACAAGAATATTAACAAGGATATGCCTAAGATGCTTGAATTTAACAAAGAAGAGGTGTCTCCTCCTTGTATGTATCTAAATGTCAAATTTTTAGCTTATATATTTCAGTCTCATAACGCATAAAACATGCACAAGGGTGCATAACTGGCTCCTACTATCACAACCCTCTACAATTTTAAATTCAAAACTAGTGTATTGGCAAACTAGGATTTATGTCAAAGAAAAAAAGAAAAAAGAAAATTTTGGGATTTCTATAAGTTTTTAGTTTGATTTTTATTTTTATTCTTTTATATAATTATTAGTTTTTAGGTTGATGCTCAAAAGTATCATTTTTACTATTTGTTGGATCTTCTTGTTTGTGCCCAACTAGATCCTACAATGACTATGTTGTAGCATAATGTAATGCTATACTTGTCAATTGACTTAAGGTGACCAAAGGTAAGAAGTTCACAATTTAAAATTTGAGTAACTTGATAGGTAAATAAAATAGATAAAAGTCAAAGGGATGAGAAATGAATAGGCTTAATTCAATTTTTAGTCTATTAACTATAAACTTAATTTCATTTTAGTCTAGAAAGTTTATTTTCTTTCTAAATAGTCTATAAACTTTGGAAATATTTCAGAATAGTCTACCAGTACAAAATTTTGTTAGATTTAATGAAAAAGTAGTCCTTTAAGTTTTGAAAAAATGATATTATAATTCTAATAAAATATGATGACTTGAGAAATATTTTATAGAGATAAATTAGTTAAAATTTGAAAAAAACTCGAGCAACTAGTTTGTTGTGAAAATTTATTTAAATGTTCATAAAAAATAATATAAAAATAAAATTAAGGACATTTAAATAATTTTACAGGACAAATTGCAAACAGTTCGCTCTATAAAACAGTTCTATGGTAAATATAAATTTAAGAACTAAAGATCAAAATAAATATAGTTAGAGGACTGAATATAAATTTAAGGAATAAGATAAGATTAAAAACAATTTTTAGGGTAAATATAAATTTAAGGACTAAAAGATCAAAATAAATATAGTTAGATGACTGAATATTTTCTTAGAGAATAAGAAGATTCCATTAAAGATAACAGGCATTTTCATTAAAGCTAACGGACTAGATGAAATTGAAATAAATGTGAAAGATAATAGACATGATTGAAAGAATTCAAAGATAATAGATGAAATTGAAAAAAAAAAATACGAAAGTTAATAAATGATTTGTTAAATTAACCCAAAATGAATATATTTCTTAATGTACAATAAAAAAAAAAAAACCCTTAAATCAATACTGATTCCTCTATTCTCTAACACACCAAACCAAAATCAACAAAAGCCACACGCATAACAAGAATACTCCCAAATATATTACTTCAACCAAAAAGTGAATACTTTGTGTGTTTGAGATCATTGATCTCAAACATATTGTAAACATATCATCAAGACTGCTAGCTTCCTCCTAGACTCAAATCTGAGCTCAAATCATTCATCAATTGAGATATGACCTAGGTTGAGGTCTTCTTAGTTACACGACAACTATAGAAAAGTCACACTTACCCAATCTCCGTTTCTAAGATATCCACTCTAATAGCCACGTCAGATCTCGACTATCTCATTAAGAAGGCCACGTGGATACCTTGTTAAGGCCTATAAATACCCTTGAGGGTCACCTACTACAGGTAATTAAAACTGACATACAACTCTTATTTTCATCCTCCTTTCGCGTAAACCAGATTATTGCTAACTTAAGTATCAGAGTATCTACCCTGAGGTATAACTTTAGGGTTTTGCAGGTCTGTTTGAAGAGAAGACTTGGACTGAGGAAGATTTGAAAGTTTGTTACCATTACATTTAGCATCGTCTGTGGGAAACCTAAACTAAAACTTGTGCTCTCACCACCTTTGCAATATGATTAATACATGTTTTACTCGAATTGGAATTTAGGCTCAATCCTTTAGCCAAGGTCAAGAATTTAACAATAATAATTTCCTACAATTTACACCAAACCCTCACATTCACATGGAATAACACTTTAAAGGAGAGGATGAGAACTAACCCCAAAATATAGCTCCTACTCAAGGAGATGCAATAGCCACCCAACTCACAACTATGCAACAATAGTTTGGAGTTTTTTTAGCTTTTAGTAACCCAGCTTCTAGCTAGAGATAACCTTGGTGATTCCCTTATCAATTTGTTGAACACTATTCAATAACCACCAATTTAGCAACCGAAACAACATAATAGTCTAATAACTACCAAGATACTCCAATCCTAAGTGAATCACATAATAGTTCCACTTCCACCAACCATACCTATTGACATTACCAAGCATCTAAACAGTTTAGAAGGAATGGTAACTGAGCAACAAGGTGTTTTACCACCTCCAAATAACCTAATTTCAGTACCACATCTTTTGAATATCAATATATTCCAAGAACCATACCTAATTGGATTCAAGATGCCCAACTTTGAGACATAAAAAAGACAACGCCTAAGCTCAATGAGTAATACAACAACAGGGAGAATCTTTGAAGAATTACATGAATAGATTCAATGATGCAATTCTTGAAATTAGTTCTTTTGATGAAGTAGTAAGCATTGTTGCTGTAATTCAGGGTTTAAACCATGAACAACAAGATGATCCAATCAAACACCCACTTGTTACTTTTGATGAAGTTAACAACAGATCTCATAAATTTATTACGGTTGAGAAATATGCCTTACATTGGAGATCGGCATTTGCTAGAGATAATTGAAGTCTAGATTGGACAGAGAAGGGGCAAAACAAAATAAAGATAAAAGGTGCTCAAAATAGATGTACAATCCCCATGGCCAAGTTCGGCAAGTTGGAATCAACAACCTTCCTTGCTTCAACTATTAAGCCACCCAACACTTGGACTTCTTTTGCCTTACTGAAATCAAAAATCTTTATGCAAATCAAAAACAAAATGAAGCTCAAAAAACTAGGATGAATACAAAGTTTAATCGCAATTTTTGGACATACAAGATACTGTGATTTTGACAAGGATCATAATCATACAACCAATGGATGTAATAACTTGAAGTCCACGCTTGAAGGTTTAGCTCGAAGAGGTATGTTGAATGAGTACATTCTAAACATAAACCAACCCAGGTTTGTAAAAGAGCAAGGACAACAGTTTCAAGGACCTCGAGCGGCGAATGACAAAGACAGAGTAAGGTATTAGCAGGCTCCACTGTCCTTTCCACCACCAACTCGGATCCTACATATGATACCTAGAGGACTTGAAGCTTGCAGTTTAAGTTCCAAGCAGCAAAAGTTATATGTGAGAGAGATCAAGCACCAAAGTTGAGCTTAAAAGAGAAAGTTTGATGATGTAGATTGGAAAAACCAACCTATAACTTTCATGGCAACTAACCCCAATGGCGTTGTTACACCTCATAATGACCCTTTGGTCACTTCTATCATTGTTAATAACTGTGAGGGCCAACGCTTTCTCATTGACACAAGGAGTACACTTAATAATTTTGAACTATCACTACTTTGAAAGTTTTGGCCTTGATTCGGCCTTGTTGTAGAAGTATAATGGGCCCATTTATGGGTTTAACAATTAGCTAGTTCCAGTCAAGGAGGGTACTTACACCCAATGTGGTATTTGGTGAAAAGCGAACCTCAATTTGATTCTTAGTGATAAAGATGGTTTTATCTTTTAATTCGTTATAGGTTGACCTACTTTGATTGAAATCGAAGTTATAGTATCTCAATCTCATATGTGCATAAAATTCCCAACACCTATGGTGTAGCAACATTAAGTGTTGACCTCAAAAGAGCAAGGAAGTCAACTAGCCTTTTGATTCCTAAACTCCTGGTGCTCATCAAGTAATGGGGGTTGTGTTGATTAACAATAGGCTTGAAGATGAGCCTAAAGCTACCACAACTGCGAAGGTGGAAGAAGTGCAGATTGATGATAAAGATCCAGCAAGGAAACCCATATTGGAACTAAGCTCAATCCAAAGGAAAAGGAGGATTTAATTAATGTCCTCTAAGCAGACATAAATGTTTTTGCTTGGACCTCAATTAATATGCCAGGAATCCCAACCTCAGTTGCTATAAACAGATTGAGC